GGGAGGAGTTGCAACTCCTCCCCGCGACTGCATCCGTTCTGCGGTGGTATGACTCACGGCAAATTGCAGCCGCGGCGCGCACTTGATTGTACGCACTGTATATATAAATGCTTATTTAGAACATCATTTCCTGATGCTATAGATAAAGAAGGTCTTTAAAGTGTTGGACTTTGACTCCAATTTAATGAGGCTTGTCATGCAAGAAGATTTCATCACATATGGTTGCCTTAACAGCTCCATGTGTACTTCAAGAATTTATTATCCATACTAACATGGCAGCATATGAGAATGTAAAAAAAATATTCAGGAACAGGTGCAACCATAAATACTTTTTCTGTAATGTAATATAATGTTTCTTTTTACTCATTGCTGTTGAAGATACAGCATATTTTGAAAATTATACGTCGGATATATAGCAAAAGAGAAAATTTTACTTATGTACCTGTATATTTTTTTATGATTTAATTTACTTACATTGTCAGTAGCTCAGACTTTATAGTATCAAATGATTGGATTATTAGTGAATTATGAATTAGAAAAGGTGTGGAAGGAAGCGGTCATGACCTCCCAAATGAAAGCAGGAATGCTGCCTACTTGACTATGATGTTTGGTAATATAATAAGGAAAAAACGAACCTTTACTTCTATTCATAACAGAAAACTGTGTGAGAAAGAATTAATTCTTGGGCTTCTTCTAAAATGTTCATATTTTTCTTTCCTGATGTGTAAATCGGCATGTCCCTGGCTTTTTCTAATATGTCAGAATGACTAATTATACCTCTCTTTATGAGTTAATAATATATATGAAAATGTATTACTGCAAAGTTATTTCGGACATTTATATGAGTATAAACAACAAGATCAGCATCTGTACAACAATTTGGCTCTGATACAAATATCTGAATTTAATACAACACTGAACACAGTATCTGTGTCAGAGCCTACACATGTATTTCAGCAATAGTAAGTTCACACTGCTGATTTTCGTATGTGTATCACATGAATGCATTGAACAAATGTCTGCATTTGACTCAAAATGACAATATCAATTAGCCATAAATTTTACAAGTTTGAACATCATTTCTGATCTACAGAGAACTGAAATGATGTTAAGGTACAATATATGATTTATACATAATTTTTCCTTCATAACAGTTTCCAGTACTTTGACACTGTATTCCCACTATTGGACACCCATACAATGCTTCAGGGGGAAAATGAGTATTGCATGGAAACTGTCCAACAACAGAATCCACCATAAACCAATGGAATAAATTGCTTTACCCGTCTCATTCGATAAAAATTGACTATTTTGTGCATCATTTGTTTTCTGTTTAAAGTCAGTATAACAAAAAATGAATGTGATGTTGAGTGTAGCAACAGTCAGCTGTGTTGGCATAAGCTTTAAACAAATTAAATTATATTGTGTCATTACACTAACAGCAATCTCTTGTCAGCATGTGTCAAAAACTCCCCCAAACTTAAAGTAATATGGCCACATTCCTTCACTCTGATCCAAAAAACCTCGTACGTTATGCTGACAAAACTTAATGATTACCATTACCACTGTGAAATAATTTTCCATTTACCCATGATTTGTAAATGGGGTTAAGAAATTTTCAGAATCAAAATTGCAAGAGCAATTTATGGAAAACAACATTTTCAGAATTGAAAACCTAATCAATTTACATTTCATAATTATAAACCACATTCTGAAACTGAAAAACAGCATCAGACTATTGAAGACACATTGGAATATGCAGACATGAAGTATATACTGTGTGAAAAGCCAGTACATATTGATAGGGTGAGATAAAAGCTGGGATTTGTGACTCTGAATTAAATTGGAGTAATTGTGATGACATGTCAATGACAACAACAATATGAATATTAAACAGTAAGTGTATGTACAACTGGGAATATCCCTTGTGCTCAAAGAAGTTTTGTGCTTTCTTTACAAAGTGCTGGTTGCAACAACAGTCTTCAAAGTGTCAAATTCATCAACAAATACCAGGACTAGATTGGCTGTATGAAAAAGTAAGAGATGAAGTGTCCACTGTTTGATATGCTTCTATAATGTTCATCCACTGAATGAAGAAAATGGTGCAACAAATGCCATGGTGAGACATTGCAAGCCATATATGGTGAAGCAGTACCACCATCAAAAACATACCTCTTAGGAACTATCATATATTCTGTGTACAGTCTGGAATGCTGATGTAGCTCCAGATGGCTTACCTGGATTCCACTAAAATATTACATAAGACTTCCTTACAATGTCATGCTGTCACACTTCAAAATCTATAAATTCCACAAGAATATCTCCTATGAGAATCCCATTGTTTTGGGTTAGAAACCACACCAGAAATATTGGTAAATGACGAAGAAATAGTTGCTTTGCCACAGCAATACAAAGTCCCTTCATATGGGAGGCCTGATGCATTGCCTGACAAGTTAAAATATGGCACTGCCAAGAGAGCTAACCAAATATATATGTTCATCTCTATGATTCAACCAGAACATGCCATCGACAGATCTGCTCTCCTCGCACATCACGCATGTCATTCCAATGCGCAAGCTCTTCTTCTCCTGAACTGTTGAGTCCCAGAGAGAACCAGCCTATCATCTCCTTACGTTTTATGCTTCGCTTGTTGTACACAGACACCATTAGACTTACATCAGGAAGCTGGAACAGTGCCACCTGAAATGAACCAAACTTTTGTTACTAAATGAAAACTTGTCCAGAATAAATAGAAATTACAGAAACTGTGAAATAACTCATCCACAGACTTTAATGTGTGACTGTTTCTATGCTCTTCTAGTACTTTGATGTATTGCTTATGCGTGTGAGTCGGAAAGTTTCCATAACGATTTACAAGAAAGCTTACTTGTTGGCTGCAATGCTTATTTTGCATGCAGGTAGGAGCAAGAACTCCTTACATGACCGACTAGCCAGTTGTAGTGTCATCGCAACAGAGTTAAGCTTACTGCTCTGCTTTTTATAGGCACCAAAGAAGAGCAGCGAGCAGTGATAGGATTTTTTGTGGGCTGATGGTGTACCAGGGTCAGAAATCCATTGCAGACTTTGAGCACAATATGGAAACAATGCTTTACTGAAGCGAGGTATGTAAAAATGGATAGCCATGTTCAAAAACAACTGCTGATGAAAAATGATCAAGACGCACATCCGCATTCAGTATGGAAGAGAACACTGCAGGAGTCCGTGCCATGATACTGGGTAATCGATGGGTGGCTGTTGATGAATTGACACATCATCTGCATATTAGTCATGGTTTTTGTCACCGAATTATCCATGAGCAACATGTTTCATAAACCTTTTGAAAAATGGGTTCCAAAACAGCTCACAGGAAATCATAAGTGCAAAGGTTTGACAATCTGCCAAGGCCTTCATAATGAAGGCGACGCTTTTTTGAGGCACACTATCACTGAGCACAAGATGTGGATCCACCATTACGCTCCAGAAAGCAAACACACCAGAGTATGTAATGAAAGCATCTGGCATTGCCAGTCAAAAAGATATCCAAAACTCAACCATCAATGGGAAAATCGTAGACACTTTTTGGGATGCATAAGGGCCAATTTTGGAACATTAGCAAGAGAGGGACAAAGAAGTAAATAGTGCCATTATAGTGAAATGCTTTGGGTCCAGCTGGAACTAAAAATTCTGGCCAAACTCTGAGCACTATTGTCGAAAAATATTGCGATGTTGCATGATAATGCCCATCTGCACACTGCTGTCGACACCATTGAAACACTATGCCAGCTGAACTTGAGGTGTTGATGCATTATCTGTTTAGCCTTGATATGGCTCCTTCTGATTGTCACCTGTTTGGTCCACTCAAAGATGCTTTGGGAGGGCACCATTTCACCAGTTACAAAGAAGTTAAAAAGCAGCATATGCATGGCTTGTCATTCAACCAAACACATTTTCTTAGAAAAATATGTTACTGTGTGCATGCTAATTGTAACTGTATTATTTTAGAAAAATAATTGCTGATGCTTTCTGACTCACCCAATATTTTCTTCATATGAGGTTATTATATTGTACAGAGATTATCCTTGAATATAAATCCAATATAAAACATAACGCTTGTAAACAGAGTTTATATTTATTTAGCCCTTCTGGGTTTGTTTGACAATGCTTTCAGTTGCCAGACTCATATAGCATTGATCAGTAGAATGGTATGAAATGGAAAGGAAGAGCACAGAAGTAGTCATAGCCTAATTTAAGATACTGTCACAGCATTAACCTGAAAAGACTGAGGAAAACCTCAGTCAGAGTAATCAGTTTATTGGGTTATGTAAGAATCCCAGATCATCTGAATACAAAGTAGGGATGCTAACCACACTGTATCAGTGTTCAGTGTTTTTTAATAAATTGATCAAAGTTCTATCTTTTGAAGCATATAGCATACAGATATCTAATTTGTTACATCAAATCGGCAAACAGGTGATGTGATCAATGTTTTGTAAGATCAGTTTACAATTTCAAGCTGGCGATAGGGACAGAGATGGTCCCTGGAACGACAGTGATTTTTAAGCAATTGACATAGCTGACAGAACGAGAAGATTTTATGAACTTTGGCTGCCATACAAGCTTCAGATCTTACACTAGAGATTTTAAATTTTCTCTAATGTTTGAGGCTCTTGCAGTGGTGAATATCAGCATTACAAATTACCTGTGTATGATGCTATGTACTCTGATGGATAGGTGAGTCTAACCTGAAGTTGGCGCCTATCTGCCAGGCTACATGATGTTACATCCTAGAACACCATAATCTTACGTTTCCTCTGTTTAGTATGCCTTTCCAAACCCGGTGTGCTATAAACGTAAAGCTATCCCTGTAACAGGCCTCAGAGGCCCATAGGGTTGTGAGACATTGAGGGTCCCACATTATCTAGACCACCTGCTCAAAGATGGCAGTAAGGTTGTCAGCCTTATGCGTCGGCTGCCCTTTACCCCCAGGAAGATTCCTGGCACTCATTTCTGTTAGAGGCTGAATCGACCCCAGGACCATAGTGCGGCTGGAAGGATTAGGTCAATTGAAAAAATCCAATATCCTCATCAGGACTTGAACCCACGACCTTCCGGCTTGTAGCATAGTGCCTCAACCAACTACGCTACTGCATATCCCCCCGGTATGTTTTAAGGGAAGAAATTAATCTTACCCATCAAATCACATAATTTTCTGTCAAATATATATGCTAGCAATAAGTTATGAGAAATACCTTCAAAATCATCATATTCAACCTTTTGTTGGTTCTAAATAAATTGGAGTGAAGTGTGAATCAATGAGTAAATGCTTCCAGCAATGTGACAATCTGAAACCTATAATTTAAAGTCCTTCAGCAATAAATAATGCTGCCCTCTATTGTGACTGGTCTGACTAAAAATTTGACAAATTAAATCCCATGTTTACTGTTCTAAAGATTGAATTTATTGCAGGAATGAATTCTTATTCTAAGATACAATTTAATTAACTTGAGTTGCTAATTATTATCTCAGATGTGGCTTTATTTTACTTGAGTACACACAAACACACAAAAGAACAGATATTGGAGCATAAAAAAATCCACTTCTTATATAGGAAATATAAATATATAAAATAAATATGATGTAAAAGTTGGTGTTGAATTCTCCCTATATGCAAGGAGGATTGTGGGGCCTTTGTTTCATACTGAGACAAGTAATTATGAGAGATTATAAGGCAAATACTGCAAACACACAAGTAACCACCACTGTAGTGGATAACTGCAGTCTCATACTGCTGCAGCTGGCCAAATAGCAAAGACAGTAATTCAAGAAGCTAATGTGCATAGCGTAAATTATGTGCTCATGTATTATCCCCGAATAACTCCATATATCTCCAAAGGAATTCATCCCCTCCTCTAGACTAACAAGTTTACAACATGATATATTGTGTAGGCCTTAATAAAAATGAAGAATTACCTGGAACATGAAGGTCTCCTTGAAAAGTGGGTTTGGTTGCCCACGTCGGATAGATGTCTTGCTGCGGGACATCTCCTGGCCACTGCTGCTGACAAGACACAGTTTGACATATGTGTCAGGTGGTCGGGTCATGGCTAGATTTCTGTGGATCATATGTACATATAGGTTAGGAAGCTGGAAGGATTTGTAAGTCATGCCATGATAAAGTAAAAACAGAGAAAATAAAAGAAAGATCTTATTACTGGGAAGCAGCCATATTAGTGAAATTGGCCCCATGCTTCAAGAGAGCTGGGAACTAAATCTGACATGTGTAGTATTTTCAAACCAAATGCTCCTCTGCAAAGGTTGTTGAAGATATAGGGAGGCTTGGTAAATGCCTTACCAAGCAAGGGCATATTATTATAGTGAGAGGGCCAGAACAGCCTAGAGAGAAACTATCATCATTCAATTGAAAATGATCTAAACTTCATTGCAGAGAGGACATCAAACACCAGTGTGGACTTTGCCATTCTCTTTGAGAAGCATGACAAGCCATGGATGAATGGAAGAGTTAGGAGCATGAATCTATGGTTCTATCAGGCCCTGCTGAGGTGCGATATATCTCATATTACTGACCCATCATTATTTGTGAGGGAAGATTACACTATGCACAGCCTGCACCTAAACTCTCAAGGAAAGAAGAGGCTCATGCAACTAATTGCTGAGAGGATTGTTGGTGGTCATATGTCAGGCATAAGCAGTATTCCTGTTATAACCCATACTAGGGTGTCTCTTCTTTTAGCTTAAGTTCAGAAGCACAGAGATGCCTAATATATATTCAATGCAGACCTACAGTCTTGGAAGTTCACAAACAAAATGCATGATCATCCAGCTCGGTCTTTCACAAGAATATCAAAGGATTGAGAAACAAAAACAATAGACAACCTAAACCCTCACATGTTATGTTTAAGACAAATCACATGGTTGAACAGGAGCTGATGCACCTCACAATGAATGGTTACCTATTAGGCTCCAGCTTTTGCCAAAGAGACCTGCAGAGGGGAAGTGTGTGTATTTTTGTTAGAACAGACACAAATTTCATTAAAATTGATATTTCTCATCACTGCAAGGAGCAGGACTTTGAAATCTGTGGAATGCCATTAGTAACAAAAACATTTATCCTAATTAGTTATTAAGCTTGTACAGAGGTCCTACAGGATATGTTAATGAATTTCTAAGAAGACTAGGTGCAACTTTAAAATATCTCTACAATCCACAATCTGCATTTCAATGTGCTTTTAACGCAACATAGCTGACCTGTTTCACTTACATAAATCATCCATATTATGGGACTTCTGAACATTACTGCTACCTCTGTACAGTTACAAACTAATTAGATGCAGACCATTATGATGTCATGCCTTTAACTGATGACACATTAAAGATTGAGAGGTTGCAAGTCCCTTTGTGAAAAAAACAGAACATGCATGCCTAGTTATGTATGTATGTATGTATGTATGTATGTACTGTTGTACGTTTCCTAGTTAATGTGACAAGAAAATTTATGTGGGTTTCAGATTTGGTGAATATGTTTATTGAGCACTCGATTTTTACACTCACAAATACAATTATTCACACTTATAACATCTTCAGACGTTTCCTCTTCAATGTTATATGCTGTCGCATCGCTAATCTCTTTGAAGTGTCTTCTGTTCTGCTCGGAGCTCAACTGTCCTTAGCTCTTGTCGAAGCTAGAATGACTGGTCTCTTGTTGGATACGAACTTGCTTCTGCTCTAGTCAGATATGAACTCTACTGGCCTCTTGCCAGATACGAACTCTACTGGTCTCTTGTTGGATATGAACTAACTGATCTCTTGCCAAAGTTGGACTATTATATCCTGCACTCTGGCTGAATAGGGAACACCTTGTCTAAGGGTTCCATTTCACCTGCTGTTATGCAAACTAATCTCTTGTTGCCGCAGGAATACAATTTTACTGCCTCAAACAATTCATTGCTTAGATATTGCTAGCCTGTTTGTAATGATGGAAACCCAGTGTTAGGTTCTCGTGTTCTTCAAACGGTTTCCTGGGTAGCATGCTTTCTCACTGTCTGTTGCTTAGTGATGGATGTCTATAGTCCGGCTTTCAGGCAGCATGTCACATTATGTATGTATGTATGTACGTACATGTCGGGCAATGTTTTGCACCCTGCATTCACCCTTGGCAGTGCAGACATGTAACACATATTGATTCAATATTGAAGACAAGTGATTTGATCTAGCGTATTGAATTAAGATATATGAACTCTTATTTAAGAAAGTGGTTAAAATTTCAAAATTTGAGAAGTGGGTGTTAATTTATAATAAATTGAGAGCTAGACTGAAGAGAGTATAGGATGTAACACAATTTCACAGAATAAATAATATTTGTATATGTAGTACTCCTATTAAGGGAGGAACATAGACTGAGGGTGTTTGAGAACAGGGTGTTGAGGAGAATATCTGGGCCAAAGGGAGATGAAGTGACAGGAGGTTGGAGAAAAACTGCATAATGAGGAGCTTCATAACTTGTACTCTTCTCCAAGTATAATTAGAATGATCAAGTCAAGGAGGATGAGGTTGGAAGGTCATGTAGCACGAATGGGGGAGATGAATGCGTATAGGATATTGGTGGGAAAGCCAGAAGGAAAGCGACCACAAGGAAGACCAAGGCATAGGTGGGTGGACAATATTACAATGGATCTTAGAGAGATAGGATGGGATTGTATGGATTGGATAGATCTGGCTCAGGATAGGGACCAGTGGAGGGATCTTGTGAACACGGTAATGAACCTTCGGGTTCCATAAAATGCTGGGAAATTCTTGAGTAGCTGCAGAATTGGTGGCTCCTCCAGAAGGGCTCAGCTCAATGAGTGAGTGAGTAAGTAAGTAAGTATATGTAGTACTCCTAGTTCGCTTGTGGACTACAGGCCACGGATTACTGTAAATTAGTTGGAAAAGGAAAGTAGATTGGACTTCAGTCATTGCCAACTGTGTACCAAATAAATGGGGGTAAATATAGCAGCCCAAGGTACAGAATTAGTAAAAACAAATAGCGGTTTAGAAACAAAATAAATAAGACATATGGGAGTGGAAGTAGTGCTCCACGTATTCTTGACCTCAGCACAAGATGGAGGTGAGTGAACAGCTTCATGCCCCAAACACTTTATTATCAAGTTAAAGAGTTCTGGTACCCACTGGACAGGAGATTGGATGGGACCCAGTGTCAGTCAGGGAGTAAATGTGAAGAAAAAATTCCATCTACACAGTAACGCAGCACATAGCCCATCACTTTGAAAAAAATATTTACACATGTTAAGGATTTCTTACCTGAAGTGACTACCTTTGACGACCTCTACTGACAGCCGCCCTGTCGTGCCATTGTATGCTAGACCTAGGAGTAATTCAGGTACTCCCCCATGCTGCATGGAGTGTGTAGATCCAGTGCTGTCACTACGAGCCAGGCTCAACAGATCTGAGGCCGATGAGTTTAGCTGTGGCAAGACACAAGCACAAGATTTGCGTTCAGTTCGACACAACTGCAATACCAGCTAATCAAGGAATCACTTGATTCACTCAGATATTATAGATCCTATGGATCTATACTGGCCCATTTAGCTTGATCCATATCACTCTAGGAGCCTTGGTCTTCCAGAATTTTTTTTTTAATGTTCTTCTGCACATATTATGTAAATCCATTCTTTTTCATGCACTCTATAATCTTAATCTTCCTGAAAGTATACTTAAGAAAATGTGTAAATAATATAGTTTGTTACTGTGTAAATCATACACACTTCAGTTTTTTGCTTTCAGCTATTCCCATTATCATTTCAGTATGCAGTCATTTCTTAAGGAAAGAAGTAGGTTTAGACAAGATCATCGTGATGTGTGTGTGTGTGCGCGCGCATGCATGTGCATGAGTGCACCACACCACACTCCCCCATTTCAACTTGTGAACCAATTGACCAGATTTTATAAAATTAAAATAAATGTAGCCACTAAAGGCTACACCAGTATTGCACTCATTAATTTCCTACATTTGGTAATAATAACATAGCAGATGCACAAATTTGTGATATGGAACAAAATTAGTGCCACTCTATCTAGGCTCTTGAATTACTTAAAGTAATTTTACTACCAAGCACATTATCAGATGGACTGAATTACATTTTATATCTGGATTATAAATTTACATTATCTTATGAAGGCATTATTTTAACACAAGATTTTTAAGGGTGGAAGTGTGCAATAAGAAAGGTTGCTTCAAGTGTTCTGCCCAGAACTCCTTTGCTTTTGGTTTGTGCACTGCACTGATCAGTTGGTCTCCAGATATGGATAGCAGCTTGCATATATGTGAAACAGCAGCTAAAGAGAAATAAGACGTCATAGTCATAAAGTCTGAGGTTAGGTATAGCCATATCATTTAGCACAGAAAATGTTCTACCATGGAAGAGATATAGACTGAAGATTCTTTATATTATATTTCAGCATCCTGTTGCATTGAGATATAACTTATAGGCTTGTTTTCCATCTATAATGCAACAGTATTAATTTAATAACATTAATTCATGCTTAATTCACCACATGTTCATTAAAATTATTAAAATGCATGTGCATTGGTGTTTATGTTATATGTTTCGGCCGCATAGGGCCATCTTCAGGCAACACATCTCTTTAAAGGAGTCTACTGCACTGTGCCCTTGGTCAAATGGTATTCATTTAGGGCATGTTGTCATTGTTATTATTAACTTCTTTGAATTCTGATGTTGTAGGACGATTTTCTTCCTATCTTATACATTGCGGCCGTTTTCATGTCCCATTGGGTGTGCTGCTCCCTTAATTGTATCTAGTGTTGCTAGATACACACATCTAAGTGAGTTATTATTAGCTTCTTTGAATTCTGATGTAGGATGATTTTATAAGATGATTTTATTCCTGCTTTATATATTGTGGCTGTTCTTCTTCCTTGAATTCTGATGTTGTAGGATGACTATAGGATAATTTTCTTCCTATCTTATATGCTAAATAAAACTAAGCAAGCGGCAACCCAATGGGACATGAAAACAGCCACAATGTATAAGATAGGAAGAAAATCATCCTACAAAACAATTAAAAGAAGTTAATAATAACAATGACAACATGCCTTAATGAATGCCATTTGACCAAGTACACAGTGCAGTAGACTCCTTTAAAAAGATGTGTTGCCTGAAGGTGGCCCTATGCGGCTGAAACATGTAGCATAAACACCGAATGTATGTATGTTTTAATAATTTTAATGACATTTTAAACATTTAATGAACATTTGGTGAACTGAGTGTGAATTAATGTTATTAAATTAATATTGTTGCATTATAGATGGAAAACAAAACTATGAAGATTCTTTGGTACAGGCCCTTGACATAGCAATTGTTACTTGTGATGGGAATATAACATTATAGTGGATTAAATTCTATTAATGTGGTTTTGGTAGTTAGGTTGCGTTAGGTCTTTGTTATAGATGTATACTAACTGTTATGTTCGCCCTTGGCTCCAGCGCCACCCACATAGTGGTCTCGAGCTCCAGGTTTATAGACGTGAAACTGACTACACACTCTCCTATCATCCTCTCACGTCGCATTCTTTCACAGCCATAGAGCCGGAACCGCACTCCCATGCTGTTCACATCCTCTGTAAATGCAAAAACGTGTCCCATTGGAAATATCTCATTTCTGTTTAATTTATGATCTTATAACTAATTCCATGATGCATAAGGACAGCCTGCTTGGGAATTATGGGAGCAATGAGAACAGCTCCAATAGCTGCAATGGAAATCCTACTAGGACTCCCCCCACTACATCTGCAGATGGAAGCAGAGGCCAAGTTAGGAAATTACAGATTACGTTGCAATGATCAACGGAGACCTAAAACGGAAGGTTTTGGACACACATATACATGATTCAGGACATGAAAAAGGAACCCATCCTACAGATGGAATCTAATAAAATGACACTGAAACATGTCTATGATAAACCCTTCACAATCAGATTTCCTGATAGAAGTGAATGGAAAGAGGGGTTTCAACCTGATAGAAAGGGGGGACTAATCTGGTATACAGATGGCTCCAAAACAAATAAAGGCACTGGAGTTGGAGTGTATTGTGATGGAACAGGGCGGAAACATAGTTTTGGCCTTGGTCAGTATACAACAGCATTCCAGGCAGAAGTGTATGCCATTAAGGCATGCGCAGTTGAGAATTTAGATAGAAACTACAAAAATAGGAATATCTATATTCTATTAGATAGTCAAGCTGCAATCAAAGCACTTGGTACACATCAAATCACTTCAAAATTTGTTTGAAATTTCCACCAATCCCTCATACAACTGGCCAGACATAACAGAGTTCAGCTGATATGGGTGCCAGGCCATAAGGGTATTGCTGGGAATAAAATCACAGATCAGCTGGCAAGAACAGGATCTGAACAACCGTTCATAGGACCTGAACAAGCTTGCGGCATCTCAAATGGAGTTGCCAAGAAAGCGATCAGGGACTGGACTAAGAGAAATCACACACACACACACACACACAAAACTGGGAATCCACAACTGGACTCAAACAGGCAAAAAGATTTATAACAGGACCCTCTGCCAAAAGAACGAGGGACCTGTTAAAATTAAACAGAGCTCAACTAAGATGGGTGGTAGGATTACTTACTGGACACTGACACCTAAAAGGGTACCTTTTCAAACTGGAATTGACAGGCGACCCAACTTGCGAAAGGTGCCTGCAAGAATATGAATCAGCCACACACTTCTTATGTGATTGTGGGGCTATAGCTTACCTAAGATATCGCCACCTGGGTCAATTCTTCATGGAACCAAGTGACTTTTATAGTGCCCCATAAATAAAGTCCTATGTTTCATTCCAAGTGTAGGATTAATAAAGCGTTAATCCAAAGGGGAAGCACAATAGATCATTGAAGGTTGTAGTGCAAGGGCTGGTTTTTATGGCTAACCCCTCATACTCAACTCCATGAAGCATGGTCATTCCTAAAATATTGATAGATACCTAGCTGGTCAAGATATTCCATGCCTTTCGGGAACTTAAATGTTCATTGTCATATTTCAGGTGGCTTTCCAATGAACCCTATTCCCAACCATTTCGGTCCTGTTGTCACTTTAACACCATTTTTATTCAGATATTTTTATTTTCAGTGACCCTGCACTAGAGAAAATCCTACATCCCCCAAGTTCCAAATTTCATGGCCTGTTTCCATTGTTAGGCCATGTTAAATATCCATTCAAGACTAAGGTTTTTTGTAGAAATTTTATAACTTAAAGTTTTTTATTCTGAGGGATTATTATGCCAAAAACCAACCTCCAAGAAACAGAAGCACCCCTTGTTTGTTGTCTGGGAGTACTTATTCAAGATATCCATATCTGTCGTTATCCTGGTGCCTGAGCACCATGCTGTGTAGATTTACACAGCATGGTGCTCTTCATAACATGAGCAATAGATAAAGATTAATGGCCAACTTCATACTTCACTGCTTTCTCTCAGTGAAAGAGACACCAGTAACCACTGGATAGCCTGTTTATACTCCACATCCATTCTGAATGAAATGGCAAAACTAAAAATTCATCCTGGTTACCCAGCCCATAGGCAGTCAATTTATGGAATGAGCCATGAGATTTTTTGTTTTTTGGACTAGGGGGAAGTGAATGTACCACCTTTTTTCATACACATTTCTTTCTGCCGCCAATCATTATATCTTGAAAACATATTATAGGTCTAGTATGTGTAAACTTACATTTTAACCATCCAAAGGATTCTGATGTTTATATAAATAAGAATTTAGTAGATATGCATTTGTTACTAAGAAAGCTAATTTCTTTGCTTAATCATCTCTCTACAGTAGAAGAATTACAGTTGTGAGTGCCAGCTTTCAAATAAATCAACACATTTATTTATACTAATACATGGAGTTTATTAATGATATTAGTAGTGCAGCAATATTTCATGCGACATGGGCACAGCTTAAGACTGTGACCCAACACTCCTACATAATTTATGCCACACATAACCTCATATCTCTTTATGTCACCTAATACAACCCTAAACACACCGGAAGTGCTCACACAGCTACAAGGAATGGACAAAATAATGGAAACACTATGAAATTGAGGAACAGAATTTGTGTTGGCTACCTTGAAATGGCTTCAGTTGACAACACTGAATGTTCTTCCATTTTTGATCCTCTGTAGTGCTCATGTATGTGCATTAGTGATTGTGATGAGTGACAGTCCATGTAAAAAAAATGGAAAATGGGAGACTTGTCCGATTTAGGACAGACTGTTGGTGTGTGTTTAGCTGGGGCATCTGTGAAAAGAGCTGCACATTATTAGGTATTATTAGGTATATCAAGAGTGACAGTTTCTAAGGTTATGTTAGCATACACAGATCATGAGAAGATATCATCAATAAAGAGGAACTGTGGGTGAAAATCAAAATTGACGGAAAGAGATCGTCATACATTGAGAAGGATATTCTGTAAAATAATGACAGAACTATTTCTACAGAGGTGAAAGGACAGCAGAACTGAATATTAATCTTGAAGAACCTGTTTCCACAAAAAACTGCATGATGTGAGCTTCACAAATCCAACATCCATGATAGGACTGCAATTGTTAAACCTCTGATTACTGAAAGCAATGCTGACATTCACAGACAATCTTTTCATGACCACCAGACAACTGGAAATGTGTGCATGATAAGGTCACATGAGTCATTCATGCTGTCCTCTATGTCAGGAAGCCTATAATCCAGAATGCCTGGTTCTAACAGTGAAACACAGTGAGGTTTTGTGATGGTTTGAGCAGCAATATCGTGGTACAGTATTCTGTTGGTCCCATTGTCACCCTTCATAGCTGAAATACTGCAAGGGAGTACATGGACAGGTTGGGTAATGAGGTGCATCTCATGATCCAGACATTATTTCGCAAGAAGATAATGCCCCCATTCACACAGATGGAACTATTCAGCCCTGGTTTGAAGAGCATGAAGATGAACTTGAACATCTTCCATGGCCTGCAAAATAAACAGATTTGAGTGCCATTGAGCCACTCTGGTCAGTCATGGAGATTAGAATGAGGGACAGATTCCCACCTCCGAAATCTCTAAAGCAACTTGAAGATGTTCGTCAAGAAAAATGGTATAAAATTCTGCTAGAGGCTGTTCAAAACCTGTACGAGTCCATTCCAAGAAGGACTGCAGCTGTATTGAAGGCAAAAGGTGGTTCAGTGCATTATTAGTAAAGAAATGTGTATAGCATCTGCAGTGTTTACATTATTTTGTTAAATCCCTGTATTATCAATACTTTAAAATGTGAAAATATCTTTTTATATATTTAGTTTTATTTTATAAGTTATGAACTACATGGTAATGCAAACATGTTTAATTAAGATTGTTAGACACTTGTAATTAGAGAAAAGACTGACAAAGACATATGAACACTGATATTAATGAAGTTGATAGATATGAATCATAAATGAAAAGTAAGCTGCAAAATTAATCATGCAGTCACCTTTCGACTGCCTGAAGGCAGGAAGGGGGCCTCCTGGAGCTAAGGGCACAGGCACCACCAAGTCTGCAGAGTAATATTACCTTTGACCCTGTATGCTGCTCCTTGTGTATCAGGCCTTATAATACAAATTATTTGTTTTGTATTTTCTTATTTAATTTATATAAAGTTTTTCATTTGTTTTTTGCCTTTGCTTTGTAATTAACATACCAGGATTGACTCTATGCAGCAGGAAGCTTTCCATGAATTGGGGGTTGTTGCCCTGCCTCACCTTAGTCTTGTGTTTCTGTCTCTTGTTGGGCAGCATGACCAGCCGAACCTGTACATTGTAATATGAAAATGCTTGCATTAAGACAATGGTTTATCAAGGTGAAGAAACCAGTTTCACATACCTCTGATCAAATTGCAATACATATATTTATGTTTCTTCGCACAGTTTACTATATTCTAAAGTAAGTAAATTTTCAATTATGATTCATGCTATTAGCAAATGAGAACAATGAAGAAACCTGTCTCATTGCAGAAATGGAAGTTACAAGTGATCTGCATTCTAACTTATTTGACCAAAGGAGAGTTGTCTCCAGTGAAAATGAGTGCTTAAGTTGCATTGATTTGTATAATAAAGTGAAATATGCACTGGATGAAGTATTTTTTTATTGCTAGTGGGGTGAGACTAAGTCCCTTGTGCTGTGGTCACTTCTGGCCTATTGTACCAGCCCCAGATGATAGGTGAGGGTGATTGTTGAGCAATTGGTGGAATGAAGATTAGCAGGGGAAACCGAAGTACTCAGAGAAAACCTGCCCCAGCACCACTTTGTCCATCACAAATC